CCCCCCCCCCCCTCCTCTTGTCCCAGCCAGACAAAACCACGCCAAGGCTTTTGTCTCACAATCTTTGATCTGTTCGTACGGCGTTTCCCACGGCCACTGCTTGGCCACGAGCCAGTTATTCCTAAGGCGCAGCTTGTTCTGCTTGACTGCAACAAAGGAACGGCGAGAGAAAGCAAGAAGATAGTACGCAGCGCGCGAACGAACCAAAGGAGTGAGGGTGGAGGGAAAAAGCAGGGAAGGAGGGAGCGGGTCAGTGCAGACATACAGGTCGCCGGCGAAGCCCCGTGTCTGGCACCGTTGGCACGTGTGACACTCCCGAGGAGAAAATGCGGTGGAATCGTGCCAACGACCTTGACTCTCGGACTCGATCCCGTCGATTCGGTCCACAAAACTGGCGGCCCAGATTTTCGTTCACGACACTCCCCGTCAACGTTTTTCATGCGGTCTGGCGCGCGACGACGGTCATGAAATCAACCCGGAAAAATCAAGGGACGGGTACTCGACTTCTTGACAAACCCACATCTCCTACTCTGGGAGAGGGGGAAACAATGAATTACGCTGCTGTTGGGTTTCGAGTTGCTCTTATATTTGTGTGGCTTCCCTTGCAGCCAGACCAACAACAACACTCCATGCTATTCGACAAGATAGGATAAGGAGCACAAGAAGCGAACATGGGCGGCACGATGCCATAACACTCACAGTGCTTTGGGAAAAGAGCGAGGATTTTTCCCTGGAGCTTGAGCTTGTCCACGGGCAGTCCCGCCCCGCCGAGGCACATGGGCGCCTTCAAGATGTCAATGCTTATCGACAGCCGAACCACCGCTCTGAACGGGTGCCACATGCCGTCGCTCTTGTAGTACAGGTGCTGGTTGCGCGGTGATATTATTGAGTATGACGAGGAGGGAGAGTGGAAGGGAGTCACAACCGTACGCATGCTCTGATGGTTCACTATAGACCGCAACGCATGGAGGCTTTCGCACTTGTTTCACTTGCATCACTACAAACGTTTGGAACCATCCACCAAAAACGACGGCTCCCAATAACTGCTGACGTCGCGCACCTGAAGATCCGGCCTACGGTCGTATCTGGCGTAGATATACTCGTACGGCGACCTGAAGGAAATGTTCGGGTCGTTGTTGATCGTGATGGGGGCGATTTTTGCCTCGGGGTCTCCGGCTGCGGCTGCCTCGGAAAGCTGGAAGCGGTCGAGGAGCATCTTGCGGTTCACCTGTTGTCGTTCACAAAAGCAGCAGCACGCAACGTAATGAGAAGGGGGAAGCGTCACTGCGGGAAAGCGGCGAGGCCAGGAAATTGAAATCAGGACAAGAGGCACAGTCCAACAGAACTCAAAAGGACGACCACGCTTTATTGAGATATGACGTCTTTTCATCGGGAAGCAGGTCACATGCTTTTCATGTCTGGCATGGGATCTGGGAGGAACATGCTGGCGTCGATAAATTTGTTCTCCCGATGCTGCACGCCTCGAAGCTTGAGCTCTGAAAAGTCCCTGCTTAGTGAAGAACGAAAAACACACACACAAGCACTCTACCACTTCCTTCTAGTCACTCTTTGTCGATCACAAGATTCCCAGCAGTGAATTTTCCCCCTCGATGGACTCTATCGTTCAGACCTGGTCAGCGTACTGCATGAGGCGTTCCACCGAGGCCCGCATCTCGCAGAACACCTCCTCTTTGCTGCAGCTCAAGTACACCCGGACCTTGAAGCCTGCGGCCATGATCTTCCTGATCGTTTCTGTCGCGTAGTCGGTCATGACCCCAACTCTCGATAGTTTGAACACCATCACGTAGTCGAAACCGTACCCGTCGGCCGCGATGTATTCCATCTTAAACGCCATTGTCCCGCACATATTAATATGGCACGGCGAGTGTTGTTGCGATGTAGTCAGTTGCGTGGAATTACGGCGGTAGAAGTTTCGCGTGTAAAGGTTTCAACAAGGAACTGCATAGAGTGGCGCGGCGAGAACGACAGAGAAACACATTGGATGTAGAATTACAACATGCACTGCCAACCTCTGCGCGGATGCTAGCGTGGATAAGTGGGGGGTAGAACACCGCAGTGCGATGAAAAAAGGTTGCAATAGTGTGGCGTAGAGGTGTTCTTTCTAGGGTGTTGGTTACAGGCACTCGAAAAGATCAACACCATGTGGATGGCCCGAAGGTGTGCAGACCTTGTAGGCCGAAACTGGCGCCGGGATCTCATGACAAGACAGGGTTCAATTGAGAACAGAAGAGTACCCGAGCAAGTCCCGACGGGTCGCGAATAGCAGGAGAGGCGGTACCCAAGGAATAGATCGTGAAAGGTCTTTCCTGACTAGATGACAAGGATAGCCCAACAGAAGTGGGTGCAGGGGAGTCCACGAACAGAATTTAGTCTACAGCCCGTACCGGGTAGTAGGCGACCTGCGGGCCTCGGCGTTCGGGTTAGGTGTCGCAAACGTTGTTCTTGTTCCCGCTTTTCTTTTCTGAGTATCGTCGCCACTCTCCGAAAGCGTTGGAGCAGCGACCGCGTAAGTTGGACAAAAGTGGTGCTTATAATAATACAGCGCTGTCCTCGACGGGGGAACCGGAGTTTTCAGCAACATAGAATATTGTAACTACTCAATGAAAACATTTTGGTACGACGTACAGCGCATACTCATGCAACGTAATATTTTTTGCTTTTATGAATGACAAGTGGCCTGTACCCCAAAAGTTTTAGTTCGACAGGACTATACTGTGAAAAAACAACACCACTCCAATCACCTTCTGTACCTGGCTGTACTCTGGTACTTACGTCAGGAAAAGATATATCTGTGGCCAACATGGTATCGAGGTCCTACGTTTCACACGCGGATATATCAGCACTCGAGTACACCTACCTGCAGAAACTACGGACGGTACTAGCCTGTTCAGCCTATCCATGTCCCGCTCTTGGAAGATTCCCACGCCCTTGACCCCGAAACCGGAGCAAATTGAGCCAAACTTCTCGCTCGAATACAAGTTCCCATGTGCTACCTCAACACCTTGTGCGTAAAAGAGCTGTGCACTGATGAGCATCTTTCTTTGGAAAGCGGTTGAGTGCATCTGTCCGGTGGAACTATCCGGTTCGACCACAGGAGTGCACGTGCCCTCAGAAAAACATAATTCGAAACAATCAGAAAATTCCGCGCCCTTTCTTGAAGTATTACGTTGCGTTAACATCCACAACGAGCAGTTCAAACCTTAAAACAAGCAAGAGAGACCTACCACGCGTTTGCAGAAGTGTATCCCGTCATGCAAGCAACATGGACTCGTTGAATCGCCCGATGTACCTGTCCACATGTATGTGCATCACGATGGTAACCGTCAGGTTGAACTCACCTCACTCAATTCGTCCACCTGCGACGCATCCCCAGGCACTATCGTATTGGGCGAGGGTTCCGCTGTTGATGGGTCCATGGCCGTCCTAGTCTCATCTTTAAGACCGTTTCCGCCACGCTCGGGATTATGGTTGTTGGTGCTGCTACTGTCGTTCGTCTTGCGCAGCGTCATGATACGGTTGGTGCTACCCAGGTCTACATCCTCCATGTCGGCTCGTTTTGGAGGGAGTTCTTCCGCGCTATCTTCTACTTCATCCCCTTTAAATGTCGTCACGGCCCGCTCATGCCTCATGGTGGCTGCCATAGACCCGCACTGCGACGACTGGTCCAATCCGTTGTCATCGTCATCCTGCTTGGAGGAGCCATGGTCACTGCCACCATCTCCAGAAGGGGGAAATGAAGGATTGTTCCTCGATGGGGAATTGTTCGAATCTGGGCTGCTGGGTTCATCGTCCGAGAAGTCGCCAGGGTCAGGGTTGTTAGCGTTGTTGTTAAAGTTGACGAGCGTGGGTTCAGGCGCAACGCTGAGTGGATTCTGCATCTCCACACTGTGATCCTCGTCGAGGGGGCTGTCTTCACTATCCAAGTGGCCCCTCTCGAGACGGTCTGTGCTGTAGCTCATTTTTGCTGATGGTGATCTCAGTAGCTCGGGTCTCGGCCACTACGGCAGTGTTCGATGGCAACCGTATCTAGCCTACTGCTGCTTTCGGCAAGCGCGGCTGTTCATCGATGTGGTAACGTTGTGATGATGATGCTGGTGTGATGCAATCGCTCCGCAGCCACGGCTGCAGCACCAGCTCAAGCCTACCGGTGGAACTTGTACGCGCGGTTGAGGGGGAGAAGGAAAGCGGGGAGACACACGAAAATATGTCGGAGGAGATCGAGCGGCGTAATAATAGCACCCCCCCGGGCCTGCTTACGAGCGGGAACAAAGAGGTATAGGGTTTTCAGCGTAGGGTGGCGTGTCGGTTCAGCACTGTCAGAGCCAAGAAAATATCGTAAAAGGGAGGTTGCCGCCGAGTGCCGAGAGCAAGAGAGAGGGAAAAGAGAGAGGAGAGAGAGCAGGACTGAAGGATATTGCGTTACACTACTATGGCAGCGTGGGGCTACCTCTTGGTGGGTGTTGGCGTCCTCGCCCAAATCGAAGCTTTCGTTATTTCTTCAGGAAGGGCACCTCCGGCACATCATGTGCTGCGCGCACCAGGTTATCATTATCTCGGTCAGCGGATTATGGGGCGGGCTGCAGAAGTCCGGATGGCCGCCAGAGAGAGCGATGAAGTGGGCGATGGGAGTGATATCAAGCCAACGTCGGAAGACCCCAGCCTCGGTGTGAAAGCTGCTTGGTGAGTAGTCGCTGACCCGCCTGAACGTCGAAGAAATACGTTCGTGCTGGAAGCTTTTGCCCAATCCGCCGGTAAAATACATGGCAGAACCCGTCTCTCTCTGCATGCAAATACGTTGCTCAATGCAGCTGTTCCGTTCAAGCAGGCTATTAACGTATATGACACACGGTAACACACCCCCTTGACCAAATTTCGAAGCTCGATTTCTCAACTGCAGGAACAGTCACAGTGCCGAAAACGGCGGCGTTGAAACCGTCTCGTCGAGAGCTTTTCGAAAATGTATTGTTTCGTTTCTGCGTCCTCTTCGTCGTGGAGTAATCGATCTTTGAAAATCGGTCCACGGGGTGTGTTATCTTGTGTCATATACGGTATGGGGATTGCGTGTGTACCCCAGCACGTAGCAGCAGAAGCTGACGCCCACCGATGCTAGTCGGTGTGATAGCTCGTGGAGCTTGTAGCAGCAGAAGTACAACATCTCCTTCAGTGCAGAAGAAGATGGAGAGATGTTTTAAACACGGCGCTTATGTGGCCAACACAGACAGATGTACCAGACAGACGGTTGTAGTCCAGGCAGTAAGCCAGCAGCATCCAAGGTACGACATGGGCAGCTAAAGTACGTAGGCAGTCCGATAGATCACAGAGAGAGATCCCAAAGTGTGAGGTCGTGCACCGAACGACAGAACGAGCTACAGACTACGTTCCTCCGCATAGGTTTCGTTCCAACCGATATATTGGTAACAGATATGTACGTCATTCGTCTACATAAGCAGTAGTACTGAACACTGACTAAGACAGGAGATGCGTAGGCATTTTCATTACACAGGCTTGCTCAGTAGTGCTTGCCGATGTCCCTCTGTATCGCCGGTGTATTCTGACGCTAGGGTCAGTGCGGCTGTGACTCCACCATAGCCCCTTACGTATTCATCGTCAAGACGTACATGACGCTGCTGGATTCCCAGGAAGATAAGACATGGTATTTACATGTAGATCTACACAGCAGTTGGTGCCGCACCTGCAAGTGTGCAACGCCAGTAGTGTTGGATATCGATTCAATAAATGGATTCGATGCGATATCGCCTGTGAAGTGGTCGATATCGATATCGATATTAGCGAGCGAAGCGAGCCGTTGGTGGCGAGCGCAGCGAGCCTGCGAGCACAGTGAGCTGACGCGCGAAGGCGCGGAAGCTTGCTGTGCGAGCCCAAGCGCCCCCCCCCGGCTGGTGAGGGGCCCCGCTGGAGGCGCCACCGGAGGCAAAATCATTGGAGCAATTTCGCTTCATTTCCCATCAAAATTACCCGAAAATAGGTCTCTGAAACCTGCCGTCAGTGTACAGCCAACTGCTTGAAAAGCAATATGTATGTGGGTAATAGTCTATCTACATCTAGTTGATTATTCTACACTACTGCTTCAAGAAAGCTTAGCGGTATCGCACGCCGAAACGAAAAAAGCAAGCTTTCTGTCGCAGAAAAGCCAAGCTCTCACAACAATTAGAAAAAAATGGCACAACAATGAGAGATAATCGGATAGTACGTAGCTGCAGCTTCTTCCTTGAATGCGCGCGTTTCATTACGTGCAGCTGCTGTGTGCTGTGTGCTGTGCAGCTATGGGGGTTCCGTGTGGAACATCAGGGGTCCCGTGGAGTATTTATCGATTTATCGTATCGATATCGAAATGTCGAAATATCGAAAATGTCAAATGTTTCGATATCCGATATCGAGACGATAAATCGATACGATAAATCGAAAAATTCGGTACGATATCCACACTGAACGCCAGCCGTCTGATTGGCGGAACCCACCTATTTTCTTATTTCTTGTCGCGACGAAGTATTCGCCGAGATCAAAGTCACCTCTGTATCACGGCCACGTACTTGTCACGTACACGCACCCAGACTAAAACGTGCGGGCAGGCGCTGGCGAAGCTGCCAACCGGTTAGGCCCATGTGGTGTGGCGTGACTTGCGCCGCTAAATACCTTCCCTGCACCTCTCTGTCGTAAATTTTTCTCTTTGGAGTTCTTTCGAAAACTGGCACACCACCACTGTTGTTTTCTTCTGACAGCCCAGCAGCTCTTGTGCGAGGAGGAGTAGCCCGGTCCCAGAGGCTTGACGCCGAGGTACCCGAGGGGGTCCACCCACCCTTCCGGGCTCTGTCGGGTTAGGTTTCGGGGTAGGACAACTGGGTTGGGGGCAGGAAGAGGCCTAGGTTGTGGCGGAAGAGGAGAACAGGGTACACAGGGTTAACCCTCTCTGAATGAGGTTGGGGCTCGCGCACTGCAGCAGGAGAGTGGTTGCAGAGCCGTGCTGCTTTTTTTATACATAGATGCAGTCGATCATGCTGGGTAATGTCGGAAAGTCTCGGGAGTTTTTCGGCAGCCTTGCGCAACATACAAAAAATACATCTATTGTAATAAAGGCTATCCGCTCGAGATGTTTCCGCGTTCGATTGGATGTTGAAATCTTATTCTTCCACTAGTGAGGGATGAAGAGCACCTGCTGGACACAGGACTTTTTTTTTGTTGAAGCGGTTATACTCTCCTCGACTCATGAAACGCGAACAGGCTACACGCGCCCCACCGACCGGCGTTCGCACTTCCTTCCCCGTTGCACGTCCTATCACGCCTTGCCAAACAACGTGCGAAGGTACGGCTCGGAGCTCTTCGGCAACATCATCGGTCTCGGGAAAAAGAAGGAGCCGGAAGACGCTTCGTCGTCAACGGCGGAGCCGATATCGCGAGCGGACGCGGTCGCCAGGTTGAAATCGGACTTCGACCGCTTCTACTTCGTCACCGGGCAAATGGACCTCGACTTGTACGAACCCGATTGCGTCTTCGCCGATCCGTTCGTTGCCTTCGAGGGACGAGACCGCTTCAAGGTGGGCACTACTGCTGTGTTCCGCACGTGTGTGCGCGTGTTCTTTAATTAGCATCTACACCGGCTGACCAATGAAAAGACGGCGATCTTACACGGGATGATGAAAGAGGAGAACACGCTTTTCTAGGCCCCCCCTGCAGGGGGGGGGGCAGAGAAGGTTGGACGACAGTGCCTAGCCTCCAGATTCGAAGCACGAAGAAATACTCAACTCCATCACCTACTAGTAGCGGTATCCCTGCTGTGTTTTTTGCTCCTGCTACCATCACCACCTGCAATGGGTTGTTCTGTGTCCGACTTCTCTGTGCTCCATTTGGCTTGCCACTAGCTTCAGCACGTTCGTCCCTGTGATTCTTTCTGGTTCTCTCTCGACTACCAATGCTCTGAAGGCCAAATAGTCCTGCTTTTTTGTCGTTGTCAACGCAAATATGGAAGAACTGATGTCGAAGCCCATGCTCCCTTTTTAACTGATACTCGTCTACCTTCGCCTCTCATTTGTACCCGTCCAAAGCATCGCCACCATCACTGAGTTCATCTTCACGTCTTTCTTCACGCTTGGTGTTTGTGTGAGTCTGTTCTTGATTGTGTGCGGACGCATCGTTGTCTCCGTCTTCTTGCGCGGGAGTACCTGCAACGACGACTGTAGCAGTGTCCCTGAAAGCAACAAATCTCCCTTGTAATGCGTGTTGCAGTTACCATTTTTCGTTCTTGGTTGCTGCAAGCCCGATGAGCTGCATGCCGGCTTAAAACGGCGTTAAGAGGGGTCCCGCTATTGCGTCATTGGTAAATACGGATACCCCCCCCCTTACCCCCCACCCACCCCTAGACCTCAGTGGGTTGGCGCTGTTGGCAAAGCGCTGAAAAACACGCCACCCCAAATATAGCCCCCATAGTATGCGCTACCAAAGACGCGTGACGCATGGATGCGTGGAGTGAGGATTGCTTACGAAAACCTCACAGGTTGAGTGATGTAGGAGATTGCCGGACACATAGACGTGTTGAGTGA